TAAAGTAGTATTCAAATGTTACTGATTATTAACAGGTCATAACGACTGTGATAAATAAAAACCTCCCTTTAAATAAGCAAATGCTTATGGTTGACACGAGAACACAAAAAAGATCAGAGTTGATAGATTTTCAGGGAACTCCTCCCTTCCCCGGGGGGATCAGTGGCCCTGAAACTGCCTCTGGAGGTGGGACCTACCAGAGTTGGGTAGGAAATGCTGACCTCAGGTGGAGGCTGGAGGTCTGGGCTCTAAGAACACAGGGTGAGACTATTTGCCACCTGCCAGGGCCTCTCCACGCCACTTCTGCAATTTGACAGCAGACTCTCAGCAACCTCTTCCTCAGGTAATAAAGCAACAGTGAACTGAGGCCCTTATTTTTTAGTGCACTTCATGTAAAGGGAGCAGACCCTCCAGGAATGAATATTCATTTGTACCACCCCTCAAAAGAAAAATGCTGATAAACTCCTGAAAAAGTTGTGTTATTGCTAAACTCTAATTGCATTTCCTTGGGTAAGCACCATAAAAAATTCATTGCAGTTTTTAGAAACAAGATGCCAATTGCATCTTAATTGCTAAAGAGGAGAGAGTGGGGGAGAAGCTTCACCAGGAAAATGCTAACCAGGCATAAACTCAGAAAGTAATCTCCCCAAGCCAGAAGGCCCAGTTCTGAAACAAGAGCTAAAAAGGAGAGATGGGTCTTATGGGGAAGCCAGACCCTCCTTGAGAGAGCATTGATGTTAGTGGTTCTCAGACCTGCAACATCAGAGCACCTGGGCAGCTGGGGCTCTTTGTTGCAGATCACAACACGTAGATATAACCTATAAGTAAGTACCTGCCAAAATTCTAGAGACATGAGCGGGAGTCAGTGCCAGAGCTTTAAGAAACATGTATGGGAGGAAATTTGTAAGTCTATCCCTAACGTGTGTGTGTGTGAGAGAGAGAGAGAATGAGAGAGAACTAGACCAAGACCACACATCACTTCACTTTAATAACAGAACTCCTGGACCAGTTCACAGAACTGTCGTTTTAAAACCAACACCCTATTCCAACGCCAACCAGAGTGTTTTTACAGTGACCCCTGCCCCAGCAGGGCCAGCCAGAGCGAGGTGAGAACAGGAAGTATGTAAGACTGACTGGAGAGTGGGGAGGATCCTGACTCCATGGGCTTAATCTGGGCTGGCCCAGCCTTGACCCCATCTGCCCAGAAGCCTCCAAGCTGGGCTTCCTCTAGGGAGACACTTCCCCCACCTGAGAGCACAGGGAGAAGGCAGGCCCAGTGTATCCCTGAGCATCCTCCCAAAAGATGCACAAAGGGGCTGGGGAAGAAAGAGGGCAGAAAGGCAGGCTCCCAGCTACTGCCGGCATCCTCTTCCTCTCCAGCTCCTCCCCAGCACCCTTCAGCTCCCCCACCTTCCCGACCCAGCCCCAGCATCTCTCCTCTCAATGAGGCTCTCTGGTGAGATAGAGGGACTGGAAATCAGGGCCCAAGGGGAGAGGCCCTGTGGCCCGGAGGCTGGCCCGTGGGTGGTGACTGTCTCTTGTGCAGTGATAGGAGATCCATGCCTTCTGCATCTCCTCCATCTAGTGGACCTGCCAGAGACCCCAGGAAACATGAGGGTGCCATGCAGTGAGATGGAGGAACAACCAGGCTTGTGGAGGGAGCCCTGTGCTGGAAAAGAGAGGAGCTGGATCCACAGCGTGGCTCCACCACGCACTAGCAGAGTAACTTTCATTTTAGTAAATCCCTTAACCATTCAGAACCTTCATTTCCACTTCTATCAAATGGGGCTAAAAATATCTGCTGCTCTAGGTTTTTTGTAAGGTTTGAATGAGACGATGGATGCACATGTCCCCTGTAAACTCTAACTTTTATTATCTACCACCCACCCTGTGCCCAACCTTGCAGAAGGATGCTTTTCACGATCAAGTCTTGCGTTTAAAAAGTCCTTCATACAAAAAAACGTGTTTTTATACACATTATCTCACTTGGTCCTCCCACTGAATGGATGAAGTTGAGTGGCTTGCCCAGTGTCACACAAGAATTAATTAGTTGCTGAACGCAAACTGTTAAATGCTGAGCTGTCTCCATAACGCAGAGAATGCAGGCAGGAATGATGGTCATAAATAAACACATAAATAACATGGGGATTGCTCATGTTAAGCCTAGCACTGTGCAGGCCTTATATGAGGTCTTACCTCATTTAATCGTCACAGTAGCATATGAGGTAGCCACGATGGCTATTACCAGGCAACTGAGGTTTACCAAGTTAGGAAATTGCTAAAGGTCACATAGTAAATGGCAGATCTGTGCCAAAATACTCAAGTCTACTCTTTCCTAGTTAATGCTTAAATGGATAGAAATCCAACAGATTCAACATTATAAGCATTACTTCTTCCTCCTCCCACTCTGGGGAACATTCCCTAGCCCCCTCTCAGGGCCCAGGCCTAAGGGGTGAGGTTCATAGTTTCCGAAGGAGGGGTTCTTTACAAACCCCCCCACACTCCTGTGCCCACACTTACCCACGCTGTGTCCTGGATCCAGTCCAGGAACTCGGAAACCTTGGCGTAGACGCCGGGGTGATTGGGCTCTGCGCAGCCATGGCCCCAGCTGACCACCCCCACCAGGCGCCACGTGTCCCCGTCCTCACACACCAGGGGGCCCCCGCTATCCCCCTGAGGAATCCAGGCACAGAGACACAGAGAAACAGACAGTTAGTCCTTCCTAGTAGAGGGGCACCAGACCTCCCCAGGGAAGGGAACTTCCATTTCAGTCCCCTCCTGCTTCCAGCGTGGATCCAGTCTTGCCTCATCCCTCCTGGAAAGGCCACTCAGACCAGGGGCCAAGCCACAGCAAGCCCCTGTGCCCCCGCCCTCCACCAGGGCCCTCTTGCCGCCACACCTGGCATGCATCTGCCCTCCCATCCAGGTAGCCGGCACACAGCATGCGGGGGGTGAGGGCCCCACTGTACACACAAGAGCTGTTGCAGAGCTGGGTGCTGAGCAGGGGCACCGCCATGTCCTGCAGTGTGTCCGAGCTGTGGGCTGTGGGAGGCAGATACGGAGATGGAGGAACACAGAGCAGGGCTGCAGGGCACAAAGCAAGTCCCAGGAAGGCACAGAAGCAAGAGGGGAGGTGGTTAGAGACCCCAGAGACACCAAGAGGGAAGCCCGGGGTGGGAAGTGTGGACCCTGGGCAAGGAGGCAGGGATCTGGCAGACCTGGGGGCTGGGAGTGAAGAGGAGTAGAACTCACACATCCCTCCCAAATGCTGAGGCCATGGCACTCTTGGCACAAGGGGAGTGGGGGTAAACGGCCTAGGTTTAGGGAAGACTCAGGGGTTGTTCTCTCAGAAATACCCAGGCAGTTGGAGACTGGGGCCCCTGGCCTGGCCAAGTGCGATGGAAAAGGGGGCTGGCACTGCCATGTGCCAGGGGAAGTGGAGTTGCCTCACCTTGGAAGGATGCCTCTCCCACCCCCACGCCCCTTTGCACCCAGGGCCCAGGGAGCTGACTCACTGTGGCTGGGGTCGGTGTGGCCCCAGCCAGACACCCAGCACTGCGAGCCCCTGGGAAAATCCTGCTCCTTGGCCGGCAGGCACACAGCGCCCACGGTGTCTGTAAGAGAGGCACGCGGTCCTAGGCCCCACTCAGGCTCAGCTTCCCCTTCCCCAAGCCTGGGCGGAGGACCAGGGCTGGCAGATCCTCCTCATCCCCTTCTCAAACAGTCCTGGTTCTTGGCCTCCCCCAGCCAGGCCTCCTGTACGGCTGTGTGGGTCACGCACTGTACCACTTTGGGGGTCGCCATGCACACGGAGGACAATGTGTAGAGTGCAGTGTGCATAGCACCCTCTAGGTTGGATGGTGTACACACTGCACACCCCCCACCCGGGGACTGTGGGAGAATGAAATTGCTTCTGGGTGTTTGTACCTAACTCCTCCTAATGAGGACCCATTTTGGGTTTTCCCCAGGGTTTGGACCCTCTTGGGGCATTATTTCCCAAAGTGTGTCACACGTCCTACGGGTAGAGCCCAAACATGACCTTAGGTAGTACATAGACTAAATAAACACTGCTTCACTTGGGGAGAAAGTATATCTTGTCGGTTCTCCTTCAGTGCCTCTAACTGCATCAGGGAGGAAGATGCCATCTAGTGCTCCCCTGCACCTCTCTTAATGCCTGCCCGCCTCCGTCTAAACACAGAGTGAGCAGGTCTGCATGCGGCAGTTCTGCAGAGGACGGCACCTAACTAGAAATTGAACACCGTTTGGTTTACATTTGGTGTATTTTGGTGGTTATTCTCTATTTACTGTAAGTAATATGGGTTCTCCAGTTAGGTAGCAATGTAAAGTTTCCCTTTTAAATATATTTAAGTCGATCTAGGAATATTAACTGTTGAACAGTTCAGAGGGTGCCCGTATATGATAACATTTGTGAAAGGTATATAGCAACAACTGTTGTCCAGAAACCCAAGGCTACACGTAGCCGGAGGAAGGAGTGCTGAGTGTGTGTGAGTGTATGCACGAGTGTGCATGACTGTGTTTGTGAGTGTGTATACATGAGTATGTACTGTGTGAGCATGTGTGCATGAGAGTGAGTGTGCATGAATGCGTATGGTGTGAGAGTATTTTGCGTAGGAGGGAGTGTGCATGTGTACTTGTGTGAGCATTGCGTGAGTGTGGGTTGTGGTGAGTGTGTGAGTGCACGTGTGTGTTTCTGTGAGTGTAAGTGTTTGTCGGTGAGTGTGCATGTACATGTGCATGTTGAGGAGCTGCCCTTCTAGGTCAGATGCTGTGGAGGAGAAGCCCCAGCCCTGGAGTCAGGGCACCAGACTCAGGAACTATTTCCCGCATGAACTTGAAGAGAGTCACTTCCCTCACTAAACTTCAGTGTCCTTATCTGTACGCACCTGCCTCATCTACCTGTCAGAGTTGGTATGAGGATTGAGTGAAAGAATATTCAGGAAAATAAGAGAAGTCTTACTAACTGTAACCTGCCACAAGGTGGCTGGGACCTGGGACCAGCCCGGGGACAGGGGTGGGGCAGCCTGGTAGTAGATGAGCAACTGTGAAGCTCTGCTTGGGACCACGAGGCAAATCCCACCTGCAGCCCAGCTGTGAAAAGGGCAGGAATCTTTGTCCTCAAAAGAGCATGTAGAGGACTTGGTGCGACTTGAGGTCCAGGTGATGCCAAAGTTCAGGACCGTCACCAAAGGAACTGAATGTTTTCAGGCTTACATCACTAGGAGGAACTTGTAGAACTCAGCTGGCCTCTCGGCCCTCCCGGTGCTGCTCCTCTCCCACCACAGCCCGCAGCCTGCTCACCCAGGGCCAGCACCTCACCTGAGAAGTTGAGCGGGGTCCGGAGCCTCAGGAGGGCGACGTCGTAGTCGTGATTCTGGGCGCTGTAGAGAGGGTGGGTGATGACCCTTTCCACCACAGACCCCTGGTGAGGCCTGACCATGCTGTGGCTGACCAGCCCTGCGTGGACCCGCCAGCTGGACAGGCGGAAGAGCCTGAAACTGCACACAGGAGCCATGCTGAGCCCGGGGAAGGAAGGGGCAGACGAGGTCAACATAAGTGAGGTGGCGTGTGGAGGAAGCTGGTCACAGAGGCTATTAGTGGGGGTCCCCATCACCAGGCTGCAATCTCCCAGAATCCATGTCTCTTAGTACCCCCCAGCAGCTGGCAAGACACTGGGCATGCAGTAGATGCTTAATAAATGCTCAAGTACTGATGGATAGAGAAGTGAGACACTATTGGTCATCTGCACCCACCACTCCTCTCTCCTGTAAAGCCCCGCCTCCAAGTTTGACAGTGAACATCAAATGGCCTTCTGTGATATCATAACTCTAACCCAAGTCAGAAAAACTTCCATCAGTCCCGTCTCTCCACTTACTGTGTGTGATCGTGGGGAGGCACTACCCCACTCGCAGCCTCAGTTTCCCCATTGTAAAATGAGGACTACACTACCTGCCCTGCCAGCCACCAAGAGAAGAGGGCCAAAGAGCTCGCTTACTCATTGTTCATTCCTTCATTGCTCCAACTAGCATTTATTAAGCACCTACTATATTCCAGGACTATTCTAGGCCATGGGGACAAGGCATTGGGAAAACCAACAAAGGGATTCAGTGGGAAACAAGACTGAGAGTCCCTGCTTCCACGGGGCTCCCAGTCTAGAGGAGAAGGAAGACATTAAACAAATAATGACATGGAAATGACTTAATTACAGTGGTGATAAACAGTAAGAAGCACAGAGGGCTGTGAGTGTGAAAGCATTTTAAAAACTTAAAAAGTGAACAAATATAAAGAACTGATATTCGTATGATTACTGCTGTTCCTGCAGAGCTGTTCCTGGCGCCAAACAGGGAGAATTTCACAAACGTCACCTGTACCCACTCGGAGCGGAGATAGGGAAGCAGACAGCTGGACGTGGACGTTTTATACAAGACATACCAACGGCCAAACAGAAAAGCCGACAGGGCCCCCTCCTCCCCAGCAGCCTGAGACCTGCCTGTGCATGCAGTGCGCAGCCGTCACCACCCAGTGTGGCGCCAGCACGGAGCCCCCACATGTGTGCCAGGAGCCCAGGGCCACGCTGGCCTGCCATGGCCAGCGCCCGGGAACCACAGCCTGCCCACTGACTATCCGGGAAGCCAGGGGCCTTGCCCCACACTCTGCAAACAGAGAAGAACCAGTGAGATGGAAAGAAAGAGAAGCGGATGTCAGCACGGTCCTAACTCTCAGGGTGGTCCAGCGTGGACACCTCTCATCTATTACTCCTGGTCCTAAGTATGAGGGACGGGAAGGTACAAATGTTGATTACACACCTGCCTGCCCCATCAGGCTGTGAGCTCAGGGACTGCGCTCGCATTATCTATGGAGCCCCAGTACCTAACAAAATGCCTATCCCGTAGGAGGGGTCAAAATGTTGGTGTGTGGATGGATGCACGGAAGGACAGATGAAGAGATGGATAGATGAACGGGAAGACAGAGGAAAGGAACTCCACACACTCTCTCCCATTTGGCCCCCACTTCACCACTTTCCTTAATCTCCTGAAGCTGCTAACCGGTTAATAGCCAACAGTAATTCCATCTTTGGGGCTCTCCATAAGAAACGGGGAGTGAGTGTCAGAGGTCAAGCCAGGTAGTGTCAGGTAGTGAAGCAAGGAGGTCATCCGCCCAGACCAGTGGCTGGTGAGGGACATGACAGAGCCTTAGACAGGGCTCTTTTTGGGAAGAACTGTGTCTGCAAAAAGGGGCCTGGCAGGCAGATGGGCAAGGGGGCAAGGAACTCCACCCCAACCCCAGCTGAGCCTCTCTATGGGGCTCTTCCACACTCAGGGCAGCGGGGATACGCCTTCCACCCACCGCCACCTTCCTGGACCCAAGACATGACTCACCAGAGCATTTGAGGGAAACAATCTGGCCAGAAGAGCAGTTGTCCCTGCAAAACAGAGGCACCAGAAAGAAGCTGGGCGGCAGCCCACCCGAGGGCATGGAGGATGGGGGTAGTTGTTGGTTGCCCCCACCCAAGCCCCTAGGTCCCTCCTCATAACAGGTCTCCGGGACAGCAGTGCACACTCTGCCCAGCCGACCCAGGGCACCAGCAGGACTTCCTGGTCCTTGAGGATCAATTTGGGCAGGACCCAATGTTACAAATCAAGTATTTATAGATAAGGAAGTCCAGCTGTTCCCACTAAGGGCTCCTGTGTATTGGATGGATGAGGGGATAAGTGGGTGAATGAATCAACAGGGCTCTTCACCCCGTGCTCCTTCCTAGCTTAGTCTATTCTCTATCCCAAGCCCTTTGCCCAGAACCTGAAGATTCATATCCTTGCTCTCCTCTTCCCCTCCTCTTTCTTAGCATAAACCTCAATTCCTTTTGGACCAAAGCCCTCTTCTCCTTCTTTACTCACCTCTTGCCCCCAGAAGTCCAGTGTCTGGATTCTCCTAGTTTCTTCTAGTTTCTCAAACCCACAGCCCTCCCAGCTCTCCTGGCAGAGTCAGCCCCATCCCTATTTCCCATTGCCCATTCGGGTATCTAAGACAGGGAAGCATTCCGAGCCTCCCCTTCTGTAGCCACGTTCCCATGATGGCCCCTCACTGGACAGGAGCTGGATAGGAGGGGCTTGAGGGAACGGTTCAGACAGGAATAGTGGTGCAAGGAAGAGAGGGCTTTAGAGTGGTGATGGGATGCCTGGCCAGCCAGCTCAGTAGGCTGCTGGAAAGCTTGAGGAAACCCAGGCAAGGCAAAGACCCTCTCTGCTAGTACCCACCCCCATGATTTGGGGAAGGGCCTGCTCCATCTCAGATCCCTCGTCTCTGGAGGGTCTCCAGGCCCCAAGCAGTTTTTAGCCAGAACAAGTCAACCATCTCTCTCCTGAGATACCAGAATTATCTAAATAAAGTGTGGCAGGGCTGAGACAGTGCTTAGTTTAGAGACAGGAGCCTGGTTTCAAGACTTGGTTTGACCACTTATTAGTTCTGTGACCTTGGACAAGCCCCTTTACTTCATTGAGCCTCAGTTTCCCCACCTGTAAAATGGGAATAAGAGTACCATTTCAAATCCTGTGACAGTAAGAACCAATCCTGCAGTTGCAGTTCTTGTGAGGGGCAAATAAGAGGACATATGTGAAACTTTGCTGGGCAGGGCTCATGCGAACCAAGTATGTAATTTCTGATTGGGAAACGTTCTTCTCTGTCCTCCTGTCTTACACCTCCAAGATTTTTGCTGGACAGTTCACCAGGAAGTAAGGGACCCCACTCAACCTCCTCGGAAGCCCTACCTTGGCTGCCACACCTCCTCCAGGAGGCCTCCCAGGCTAGGAGAGAGCTGAGCAAACTTCTGGGAGCTGTTGAGCTTGATGTCAGACAGGTTCACTCCCTTGTGGTGAGTGAGTCTTGGCAGAAGAAGGGCATAGAACAGGAGGAAATTGGCTTTAAGTGGCAGCGTGAGAGACAGTGGTTAATTATAACTGGACTGTGCGTGAGATATTACACCAGTAGTGACTGAGCTACACTTTGACAATGACCTCTTCTGGGATTTATATTTGTTAAAAAGCTGGGATGAGAGAGGAGAGAAACAGGCTGGGGAGGCATCGTGCCTAGAGGCCAGGAGATGGCCAAAATGATCTCTTGCCATATCCCGAGTACTTTGATGGTGACAGGCAGATAGAGGTCTCCAACTCCCCTTCTCCCACCCACAGCCCTCCACCTTCCCCAGGCCCCAGCTCTGGCCCCAGTTACCTGAGGTGCCCAAGGCTGCGACAGATCCGCACCCCCAGGGCAGAGCTCCATCCCTCGTGGCAGACCAGGAGCCAGTCTGGCCGGGCCCTCACCTGTACTTCCAGCAAGTAGCCCTCGGTGTTTATTCTGAAAGATACTGAAACCACATCCTACCTGCTGTGGGGTGGTGGGGCGGGGTGGGCAGGGGAACTGAACCTGGCCACTGTGGGACTTGAAGAGGCCTTAATGATAGCAGCTGGGTCACCCAATGTCAGGATCCCTGTTCCCCAGGGTGTCAGACCAGTTCTGGAAACAAAATAAGTCCTATTCGTGCAGCATTTCAGTTTTGTGTTTTAACCAAGTGCTTTTAAACGGGCTCCATCACTCCCTGTCACGGCAGCCCTGTGGGCTGAGGATTACCACCCTCCCCATTCTGCAGAGGGAAAACTAAGGCACGGAGGTTAAGTGACTTGTCCAAGATCACAGAATCCACAGTAATGAATCCAGGACTAAGTCCAGGGCCTCTGATCTCAAATCTTGTGACAATACTAGTGATGGTTACCATTTATTGAGCATCTGCTTTTTCCAGGCTCTGTGCTAAGCACTTCTGTACCTCAGCTCACATTATCCTTACAGCTTTATGCAGTAAATATTTCTATTTCCATTTCATAGAGAAGGAAATGGAAACTCAAAGAAGTAATGTGCCCCAAGTCCCACACCTAAGGTGGGCCCCAAGCTTATGCTCATCTGTAACTGATTCTAACCCCAGCCTTGGCAGCATCATATCTTCTCATCCTCGACTGTTACCTGGAGGGGAGACGACAATGTGAGGGGAAGGGGGAGATAACGTGGGGTGATGTTCCCATTCCTCTGGGTGGCCGCTGGGCAAAGACCCCTGCTGCTCACACGCTGGCTCCCCACACACACCTGGCTCCTCTTCCTCCACACTGCGGCTCACTCTGCCCCAAATGGCAAGTCGCCTGGGCTCCTGGCCCTGCCCCAGCTAGAGATCAAGACAGTCCCCAGGGAATACTGAAAGCCCTAAATCAGAGGTCAGCCCTGCGAGACTGGACTGTGTCACCACCCTTACACCAGAGGAGGAGACACAGATAGATGGCAGTGAACTCATGGCCCTTCGTTTGGGTCTTCTTGCTCCCTGTCAGAAGCAGGGATCCCAGAGCTGAGAAGGATCCCTGGGCTGGGGAGGAGTCTCATAGTCTTGGGGGTGTGGCCCACCTGTTTTGGGAAGCGAGGGGAGGAGGGCTTCCTCGCTGCCGCTGGCCTCTGAGCAGTTCAAAGTCATCTCCTCATCCTGCAAGTTCCCGGGAACAGGCTGAGAGGCAGCTGGCCACAGATACAGCACTTCAGGGGACAAGGGCAAGGAGAGGGTCACAGAGAAGAGGCTGGGGAAGGGAGGGATTCCCATAGGAGGCGGCCAAGGGGCAGAACAAGACACCTGTGGCAGAGGGAGATGAAAGCAGCCACCTGGGGACTCCTCATCAACCACCCTGCCTTAGGCTGGTCCCCACCCAACACACAGAGGAGTGGCATAGCTCTCTCGCTCGCTCTCTCTCTGTCTCTCTCTGTCTCTGTCTCTGTCTCTCTCTCTCTCTTTCTGACTGGGAAAGATTTCTAGAAAAAGTTTGACTGGGTCCTCCCTGGATATCTATTAAAGGACATTACACTTCTCACTATAAGACTAAAATGTTCTTCTTCCTATGTGGAGCCTAAATCCCTCCTACTGCAATTTCATCCCTTCTCCTCTTGTTGTCTACTCAGAGTAGATGAGAAAAAAGCTCATCCCCTCTGCCTTTAAGACCTGCTCAGCACCTGTTCCTCCCTTCCAGCATCCCCCAGATCCCATTCTTTGTCCCTCCCCAGACCACTGAAGTCCCAGCACTGACCTAGAAGCCATGAGCCGACACTGGCACCAGCCAGCAGCCCGAGGGCTCCCAGCACCACACAGGCACGGCGCCTGGAGTACCAGAGTCCTGCCGGAGAGACTGTGGGGGAGGGCAGAGGAGTGTCTAGGTGCCCTGCTCCTGCCTGCCAGCCTCACCCCACCAAGGGGCACCACCAAGGGGCCAGGCAGCCAGTGAGCTGCAGCAGGAGTTGGCACCACTGTACCTGCCTACCTCCCCCTGCTCCATCTCGGTGGGGGGCAGGGCCCTGATCTCTGAAGCCCAAAGAGCCCATTCAATCCCCAAAATGGGAAACAGAGCAAAAGTAGGTCTGGTATAAATAGTGAGGCAGCCTCTCGCCATCCATCATTTGGGGTTGACCCAAGGAAGGTCTGAGGGAGAAGATAATCTGGGGGATGTAGGAAGATTATCCCTTCACTGCCCCCACCCTGTCATTCCCCTATGGCCCAGTCTGGCCTACTGGGTTGCTGCTGGGCCTCGGGCCTCTGTAGTGGGTCTCCTGGCTCTGCTCTGAAGATCCCGGGTCCTGGGGCCTTCTCTGCATACTGAGCCTCCGTGGGGGCTTGGCCATCCAGCATCAGGCTCTGGGGAAATAGTTGTCAGTCACTCAGGATTCCCACACCAAGGAGAGAGGCCATAGCCCACCACAAATCCCCACTCTCTAACCTCGGCCGTGCCCTCACTGCTGCTTGCAAGCCTTTCTTCATCTTGGGGACTCCCTGTGTATTCCCATAGATTCCCCTCCAGGCCCTCTCTGCTCTCCTAGAGCCCCTAACCCCACCCACCTTACTCTCACACAGCCGGTAAGTGCCAGAACAGAGCCTTGAATCCAGACTGGGCCGGCTCCAAAGCCCACGCTCTTCACCACCCCCTCACCTTGCTCCCACGAGCTATGAAGGCATCCGCTGAATCCCTCAATATCCCTCCTCAGGCCTCAAGATCCCACCCTCCTCCATTCCCTCCTATCTGGAGGAAGACGTGCCCCTCCGCAGTACACCGTCCATTCATTCAGTATTATTTAGCCCAAGTGGACAGGCCACAATGGGGGATATGGTATGGAGTTCAAGATAAATCAACATGGACCTCCACCACTACTACCTCAAAGAATTTGCAGTTAAGTCCTAAAGACAAGCCATGTAAACAAAGCAATACATGTTAAGTGACAGAAGAAAAGTTCAGTTAAACTACCATTGGCATTCAGAAGGAAAGCTTACTTCTCACTGGGGAGATCAAGGAAGACCTCGTAGAAGAGGCAGCCTCTGAGACAGGCCCTCATGGATGAATAGGGTTTGAACTGACGTATATGGGCGTTGGGTAGTCCAGGCAAAAAGGATTGAATTTGCCCAGGCAAAAGCATGGGGGTAAGAAAGCATAGAACAGAGAAAGTGACACATTTGCCTGAAGTTCATGTGCCATAAAGAAGAATAATGGAAAATAAGATCTTGGGAAAAACCCTGGACTAGCAGTTCAAAGCTAGGTCTACAGCCTACTATGTGAACCTGACCACTCACCATTTCTCCAAAATTCGATTTTCTCATTTATAAAATAAGAGTGATAACCCCTTCTTCCGAACGAGTAATCTCCCTCCTCTAGTTCCTGTCTCCCTCCGTTCATTCTCCACGCCAGAGCAATTTTTCTGAAATGCGAATATGAGCAACTTAACCTCATCTTTAAAATACTCAACGAATCTTTGTAGCCTTCAGGAAAAATCCAAAGCTCCATGGCATGGCTCACAAAATCCTCTAGGATCTTGGCCCTTCCTCACCTCTCCATCCTTCTCTGCCAGCACTGACCCCTCCACAGAGGAACTCAGGGACATACTGACACACGTGCCAGTCCTCAGTGCCTTTATGCACCCTCACACCATGGAGACTCTGCACCTGTAGTCCCTTCCCCCACATAGCAGACCCTTCAAGACTCAGCTTAGATGTCGCTTCTCCATGAAGCTTTCTTCAACCCATAGAGCACTTATTGTGGCCCTATATTATGTTCATTTATTTCTCTCTCTCCTTTCTCACTGGTCTAGGCATCAGGGCCTAGCTCAAGGCCTAGCACAGAGTGGGAATTTAATTAATGTACATTGAGTAAAAGAGTGGAAGGAAGGTAGGAAGGAAAGAAGGAAGGCAGGCAGGCTAAATAAGACTATGTGATTGAAAGCGTTCTATAAAGTACAATGCAAATATTAGGTATAATAATAATATTAATAAGAAATATGTATAAGCTATTAATCCTTTCTTCAAGGAATTTATTATCCAGTAGAGTAGATAAGACGCCTTAAAGTTGAAGTGACTCTCATCCCTCCTGCAGACCACCTTTCCCTGTCAACACATAGGGTTGTACCCAAAGATCATAAAAACCTGAAACACTGATTCTAAAACATTGTTGGCTTAGATGGGATTTTCATGCATCATGTGGAATGTTCTTTTCACACTAAAACCCTCCTCATCCTGCCTTTGTGCCCCATTGAACTGGCTTTCCAGACTCTCTGGCTGGGAGAAGGAAGGCCTTTGTCAGACTCGCCCTAGTCAGTTGCCTCTAAATCACCCTGAAAATCACTCCACTAGACGTGTGAGCACCCATGCTGGTTCAGCTCACAAATGAGGCAGCAGCCCAACCTTCACTATATACCACTCCTACTTCCCATCTCCTACACCAATCCCAGCCTGGGATCTGTAGGGCTGGACCTCCCACCACCAGCAGGCCTTGCTTCTCCACAAGAAACAGGGGTTATCGCTTGCACCAAACCATACACACTCCTTCTTGTGCCTAGAAATGAGGCTCATAGGGCAGAGGCAGTGAGACTGAAGAACAGCAGGCTCGAGAGAGCCAGTCAAGCACCCATAAGAAGGCAGAGAAGTGGCAACAGGGGTGAGGTCTGGGTTTCTTCACTGGGGATATGGTTTCTCTTGAGCTGATGTGCCTCTGAGCAGAGAGGCAGAGCTCAGTCTTGAGAGAATTCCGGGACATGCCCAGCCTTTCCTCCTGTCTCAGTATCAAGGGAGCCTGGCTTTAGGTTCAGCCTCTGGACAAATTGGCCTCACCTCAGGTGCTGCCCCATCTCAAAACCTGTCCAAGCTCATGAGGTAGCCTGGAAAAATGGTTTTTAATGGCATAGGGTCTTTTGGCCCTCCTTTTGAGTAAGAGTTCAATGTAATAACGATTTGTTAAGCACTGCCCATGTGCAAAGCATATGGGGGACAAGAGAGGAAAATAAAAGATAATCCATGGGTTAAAAACCAAGAGGTTGGTCACACAGGGCCCCCTCTAGGACCTAGCCCCTGCACCAGAGCTGCCAGAGGAGGCTCTTTCCACCAGCCTAGAATTCCAAGGGCGGGGGGAGAGACAGAAGCTAGATCGGAGATGGCACAGACATGTAGCCTTACCATATGGGACAGTGGCACCGATGTAAAGCCTCAGGGTCCGCCAGCCAGGGTTCTGCTCCTGTTCCTGGATCAGCACTGATTAAATAGCCCAGCCAGCTTGGCTGTAGGGTGAGCTCTCCCTGGTTCACACATGGTCCCTCCCCTCATCCCCCTCCACACGCACACAGGCGCGCGCACACACACACACACACGCCAGAGAGACAATGAACTCTGCTCAGAAACCATGAATAGACCGCTTGTTGCAGGAAAGGGGGCCAAGGGCTGGGCTGGGCTGGGCAGCCTCAGCCCCTCCCATCTGCTAACGGGAAGCTTAGAAACAGAGAAAAAGGTTATGAGGAGGAGGGGAGGCCAGCTACTGTTGCTTAGCAACCAGGTCTCTTGTGCCAAAAAGTGTGCCCCGTGCATGCTAGCACGATTCCTCATTCCTGCTGACAGGGCTGTATTGGAGACACCCATATTAGCATTTGTTGAAATGTTCTGAGCCCGCTGGATTACATCGCACCTCTGTGTGTGTTGGCTTTCCCAGCAGTCTGGGGCTGTCACCATGTTGGAATTGGGATGATGATGAGAGATCTTTGTCGTCTCTCTCCTCAGGGCTGCACCTGTCACCCTAGTGCCAGGGAAATGGGGCCTCTCCACCAGGCTGCCCTGGGGACCGGTTACTACAGGAGCCTTCAATGCTATGTTGCTTCAAAGCACAAGGTGGCCTAGCTGAGCCCAGGATGGGCTGAACACACCTGGGAGCCACTAAAGACCTCTTTAGTCAAGGAGGCAGAACAGGCCCCAGGGAAGGGAAAGGCTGGTGTGGCTTCCCCTCCTCTAAACACCTCTCATAGATCCCTCCAATGGGACAGTTACGAACATGGAGCTTATAATCAGGCCTTCATTCAACCCCAGCTCTGCCACTTCCCTTACTCAGCCTCACATGTAAAGTTAGGATAATAGTACCTACCTCATAGGAATCATGTCGGAATTAAATGAATGGTGAACATAAAGCTCTTAGCCTCGTATCTAGCACAGACTCTATTCGGTAAATATTAGCTGCTATTATTATTATCATTGTTATTATTATTAGAGTTGAACCTCACTCACATAGACATTGTTTGTACTTTTGCTTCCTATTTTCCTCATATATTCAGTGTGTCAACTCTGAGCTTATGGTCATCACACAGAGCTCTCCACGTAAGATACAATGAAGAGACAGAGCTCAGCTATGAATCGTAAAAGCAGGAGGAGAGAAATGGTGGCTGGAGCTGAGAGTCCCCTGGCAAGGCTCTGAGGTCTCCTAGAATAATTCTCGTCCGCCTACAGATCTGAATACTTACTGTGTCTCAGGAAGTAGCCTGGGCATGGGGAATGAATAAGTCACAGGCTAGGAGCTTGCAGGCTGAGAGGAGAGGCAGGAACAGATATAAATAACGGCTATTTGTGAAAAGTCAAATAACAGAGGCATGAACTCAGAGGTATAGGAGAATGAAGAAATAGCTGACTCCTTTGCCCAGAGGACCCAGAGAAGTCTTCACAATAAAGGAGACGTCTGAGCTGAGTTTTAAGAAATGAGAAGGCAATCACATAGAAGGGCGTTTCAAATATACTGCAGGTGATGTCAGTGAGAATAGCAGAGTAAAGAACTCAGAAAATCCTCTCCTCCATAAAAGCAATGAGAAAACTGTAAAAAAAATTGTCAGAATTACCGTTTTTAGAACTCTGTAAATTAACCAAAGGCTTACAGTAATATGGGAAGTGTTTATTCAAGAAAAATGACAGACCATAGCTAACGTCATACTCAATGGTGAAAAGCTGAAAGCTTTTCGTTTAAGATCAAGAATAAACGAGGATGCCCACTCTCACCACTTTTATTCAACATAGTACCGGAAGTCCTAGCCAGAGCAATCAGGCAAGAAAAATAAATAAAAGGCATCCAACCAGAAAGGAAGAAGTAAATCTGTCACCATTTGCAGACAACATGATATTATATATAGAAAACCCTAAAGACTCCACCAAAAAACTCTTAGAACTAATAAATGAATTCAGTAAATTTGCAGGATACAAAATCAATATACAAAAATCTGCTGCATTTTTATACATTAGTAACAAACTATCAGAAAGAGGAATTAAGAAAACAATCTCATTTACAATTGCATCAAAAAGAATAAAATATCTAGGAATATAAATGGAAAGATATTCCATGCTCACAGATTGGAATA